TCACTTATCCTAATTTCGCCCCCCTTTACGGTGGCCCTGTTTAACAGACCTTTTTGTCCTAAGTGACGTACAGGCGAGGCAGATACTACATTACAAGCATGCAGCTGGTAAGCAGCCAACTAGGCGCAAGAGAGCTTCCAATGAATGACCAGTAGCAATTTGCACGTTAGCATTGGAGCAAGAACCTAATAAAGGAGCTCTTCAGATCACAGACAAGGGCAAAAGGCATTTATGATATGCAGGGGGCCAGCTAAGGGATCAGCGACGATGACAGAACAGGTTCAAGGCTCGAGGGCTTGTTGAAATGTTCCCAGAACAGATGGGCCTTGAGGCATTTAGGCCTTGGGTTCCCCAGCTTCCCTGGGACCACGGACCAGTTGTGGACCATGAGAACCCCGTACCACTGGACACCCCGAGACGGCGGACGACTACACCCTATGAAACTACTTTGTTATGCTCTTTGATGTTATGGATGAAAATGTGCACCGCGTGAGTTTTGAACCCTCAGCTAAATTTGGTTAAATGTTACTTGAAGCGCAGGACGCCTTCCAGCAGAGTAATTCCCAGTTTAGTAGTCAGCTGGCAGCTCGAATCAAGGTGCCGTCATACATTTTGTACATGTGTTTTTCAGATCAGCACCACTGCAGAAAAGTAAACACCCAAGTGGCCCCGGAAAACTGGATCACGCTACATTCCATCACAACATACCACGTCTTGATGTGAGGACCATGCGGACATTTGTTAAAGCTCAAATGGGAACATCTTATTTTTTAAGTAAATATTAGGACTATGACATAATGTAACTGACATATTGAACACAATAATAGTTAATAGTTTTAAAAGTTAAGTGGATAATTTTTCAGTATCATTCACACTCTCATTCTTTTTCAAAATAAAAAAATGAGTATTATGTATAAATATTTTGGTGTACTTGAATGGAGCACAGTAAAAGCCAAATTTCAATTCAATGTAGCGTTGGATATTTGAATAGACTTTACATGTCACATTACAATACTTCCCATGCCCCAATTTTGCCCCAGTTTAATGTCTCATTTATCTGAGGTGCAGAAATCACCAGCAGACCAGAAGACATTTGGAATTAATTCTACATGTATGTTGACATTTGTCGACTGGGACAAGATCAGATCCAGCACTTGGCAGGTGGCAGAGGGACTCTCCACACTTCTGTAAGGGCATTCTCCCTAAGGAGCTGACATACTCTCTATGGATAAGTCTTAAACATTCCAATGTGTTCTCAATGCATGTAACCTATGTCAGTGATACCATTAGAGTCGCTTCCAGATTGTGGCTTTCTTCCCTTCCCTCAGTGTACAAATCATTTTGGAGATGTGAAGTCATATATCTAAAAATAATCATTTGCAATTAAAAATCACTGAACATCTTTGACAACTAAGTGTACATGTGTTCCACATTAATTCAGTTTAGCTTTGCTGCATTTATAAGCAGTGGGAATTAGATATACAAGATATTTCATAGATCTTTCAAAAGGTAACCAAGTGCACCATAACATGCAGAGTAATACATAGTGTGTTTTTATTGTATATTAAAATTAGATCAATGCAAATTCTTTGGTGTTATTAATTGAAAAGAGTCTCACACCTTTCATATTGTTAGCAGGGTTTATAACATTCTGAAGAAATAAAGAATTACATCAACTTTCAAAATTCATTTTTATTTTAATTATTATGTTTATAAACAACTTTTTTTTAAATTAACATTGGATTCAGTTAAAAACTTGTGCAGAACAGGTCAAATAATTAGAACCGCATGCAGTCTGGATTCCTCATTCCACATTTAGCTGAAGATAAATCTTTTTTGTTTTCCTTTGGACCGTCTTAAATTCCATCCGGGCACCTTTAAGTATCACTAAATGTCACCTTCTCCTAACTCCAGTAACTGCGTGTCACTCGACTGCCTTCCCCCGTTCGCTGTGGTGTCTAACAAGACTTGAAATTCAACCTTGGGGTCCAAATATCCTTTTAAGCCGATTTTACATGCACCCGGACTCAACTACTAACTCCAGAGTAACAAAACACCATTTATACCACTCACATGTCAGCCTGACATGCCGTTGGGGCATATTCTAAACCTCGCTTCATCTTGGTTCAAAGGTATGTGTAATAATATTTCCTTTCCACTGCTGTTCAGACTGTTGTAATGGGATGGCGCTGACAACCGCTTATGCTGCGTGCACGGCAAGAGAAAACGATCCCTCGCTTGTAAAATGCGTAGAGTAGCTGATGATTCGGATACATACCCACAGACGCTGAGAAGCACGCGCAGGAGAAAAAATAGCAGCCACAGACAAGCAAGAACATGGACACATTCTAAAACAAGTGACACACAAAGGTTAGCCAAGACATAAAACGTATAACCGATAACACTTATGTCGGCCCTTATACAGTACCTAAAAATACCTAAGTAGGTATTTTTAAGCTGAAGCAAGCCCTCGCCCATAAACTCGGGTTTGACAGAGAACACAGGACAACTTACTGTGCTCAGTGTTTTCAGCTGAGTTCCCCTGTAGCAGTATGGTTGCCCACTCTGATATGTGAGTGCTGCCCCCCTTATCTGCCAGCAATAAATACGTGCAGTGACCTGTGTCCTTGTGCTGGAGGCTGTTCCCTCATGCTCAGAGGTGGTGACCGCCAAGGAGTTTTGGATGCTTGTGATTTGGGTCACGGAACTCTGCAGTGATACTAATGAGGGATCCTCTCTGTTACATCACCTTAGACACGGCAGTTGTGTCCTGGTGGCCGTGGAATAATGACGTCACCTAAATGTGGATATACGGGTGCTGAACTATGGCTGACGCAGGAAAGAAAGGGCAGGGTTTCATGTTTTCCTCTACCTATGTTTTTGTTAGAATTATATTCATTTGAAGAGAAATGTTGGTTTGAATGGCGAGCTAAATTCTACAATGGAGTCTATTAATAACTCATTAAACAGCTGATTTTCCTGGACAGACAAGGGATAGACTGGTGTTAATCCATCTTCCAGCTGCTCGTTCTGTTTACGAAGGGCATCATAGACACTGCAGGGCGTAAGGCTGAGATAACGTAGAGCAAAGGGTAGAGGATTTGAACCTCCACCCTGGACGTGTGAAGCAGCAGTAAGACCCACAAAGCTTCCTGGTAGATTTGTCTTTGCAGGAATGAATGTTATTATAAAAATCTGCATTGTTCCCAAATGACAAAAACTTACGGTGATTTCCCCATCAAACGGCAATTTACATATGCATAATAAACAGGATATCAAATGTGGGGACTCCAACCAAAATGTTCCATTTCCAGTTCCAGTTCCAGTAGGACCTGGGTGTTGTTCCTGTAAACAAGGAGTTTAACCTCTTTTGTGTTTTACCATGAATAAACATGGTAATGATATGTTTGTTTTAGAACAGGTGCTGTTAATGACACATAAATCTTCCTCCTGTTTGGTAATACAGGAATCCATCGACTTACATCTGGGTCACATTCCGGAAGTGAGGACGTAAGTCAGTCTGGATGTAATGTGATCATTATAGGACAGAGGTCAAATATACAGTATAATGAAAGATACAATGTCACACACATTTAGTTAAACCTCTGTACTGTACTGGCAAGCACAGTCTGTTTGTTCTGGTTCTTGCCATGTATTGTACATGTGGTAAAACACATCCGCTAATGTCTACTGCATCTGGCCCAGAAGCTTCTCGATAAATTGGATCAAGGCTTTTGTGGGACCTCGGATGTAAGTACAATCGGATGTTACTTGGTAGGACGTAAGTCTTCCGGGTGAAAAATTATGTAACACGTATAGTAGCTTGTGTTTCATGATGGTACTTAGGAAATAAGTACCCAACATCATGCAACACTATAGCATATTTCTTTACTTTGAACATGCAATACATATTGATATTTAACAGTCAGAACGAGGAATTAAACAATCCATCATTATAATCCTTGTTTAAAATCTTTCTTTCTTGACAATATCTCACACATTTTTTTTTCCTTCTTGAAGGATTATTCTTGAATTATGGAAGTTTTCTAAACTGGCATTTGATAGGCACAATCGTATATTTTAATTAAAATGAGTGAGGACTGCTGTAGAGGGGACGTGCAGCTCCTGACAGAAAGTGAATCACATGCACCCACGCAGCTCATAGACATCTGTGCCAGCTGCCAGAATCAAAAGGCCAATGAGATATCGACTTCAAACACTATATGCTTCATTTTAATTCAGTTTGTCATAATATAAATGAAATAGTGGTTATGTAATCTTTTCTCATTTCTTCCCCGTCTCTGCCTAATTCACCATTCCGCCGCTTCATCTTGGGACTAACTTAACCTGTTGGCCATAATTTGTACAGTGATGTTCTGATAGTCCCCAATTACAGTAATATCAATTGTATGTTTGTATCGATATAAATTACACATTTTGTAAATGTATAAAAAAATGTTGAGAAAAAGGTTATAGAAGTAGATTGCATTATAAAACTTCACCTGCAACTATATTCTAACTGTTATCTTTGGATATTTAAATATTAAAAAGTGTTATGAAGCTTTGTATTATCGTGATTTCAGTTATGCTGTTCATTGTAGCATTGGAGCCTCAAGTCTGCAATTCTTCACTGGTGTCCTGTTTCAGTCTGCAGACAAAGTAACTCAAATGCTGAGAAAATTTGTTTCCTGGGTCCTGCATTTTTTAGCACATTCTTTTGATCTCTCTTGTCAGCAGGGCCCTCAGCCCAAAAAAATAGCCAGACTGTTTTCTCTCATGTGCAACTCAGTGAAATCTCCTTGTTGCCCAATTTATTTCCCCTTAAATCGATACAGCACAAAAGAAAAGCAGCACAAAGTATTTGACATAACAGCATGTCTCCAGAGAAGTGATTGAGATGTTTTATATGATTAATATATGGATGCCTGTTGAGCTTGTGGCTACTGATATGCACAATTGTGGCATTGAGATTAACCCATTTATTTATTATTTCACGATAAAAGATAAATAATATATTATTTAATATGCCACAGCATTATACCATTATATATTATATAACAATGTATTATTGTGCATACAGCCAAACAATGTCCGACAACAAGCACGGACAGCAGGACATACAGAAGAGACTAGTGACTTCCTCTCTTTTGTATCACATTTGTCAAGTGGATTCTGTAACACAACTTAAAATTGCTGTTAAAACTCATCTCTTTATGTTTCCATATTCACTTTGAGCCCATCCACTTGAAAGCTCATGACATATCGCTTTATGTCGTTCTCATTTTAGTCATGACATATCGCTTCATGTCGTTCTCATTTTTCAGTCATGACATATCGCTTCATGTCGTTCTCATTTTAGTCATGACATATCGCTTTATGTCGTTCTCATTTTAGTGTCATGACATATCGCTTATGTCGTTCTCATTTTAGTGTCATGACATATTGCTTTATCAGTGTCATTGTGTCTGTTGTCTTTATCCTTTGTCGGGAGACCTTGAGTGTCCTGAAAGGCGGCTTTAAATAAACTGTATATATGCATGTACTTATTTGTGTGTTTGTTTGTCTGCCATCATATGGTGCCATCTTTCCAACAAATGAACTCGTCAAGTTTCTTCCCTGCTAGAGCTGCCGTGGTCAACTGAAAGTGATGTGAAATGGAAACATCTGGGAGCAAATTCAGTCGTGAAGTGGTCGGCCACACATGCTCACAGAAAGGAACGAGATCATCCAGCATCAATACCCAACCTGAATGGCTGCAACTCCAGCAATGTTCCAGCATTTAACAGAGAGCCCTCCCAGAAGACTAGGGGCTATTACAGTAAAGGGCAGGCCAACTTAATATTAATACCCTTGTTTTTGGAATGAGATGTTGGACAAGCTGCTGTCCTCATACTTTTGGCTGTGTAGTGTAGCTGATTATAAGTCACTGCCGTTCCCCTGTTCCTGCGTGTCCCTCTGGAGTCTCGAACTCATACATTCCCATTTGCTTTGCCATCATCCTTTGGGTTCTGTTCAGGTCCTTCAATCAATCCCCATCTTCCTATTGTTTTTGCTTTGTCCTCATACTTTTGGCTGTGTAGTGTAGCTGATTATAAGTCACTGCCGTTCCCCTGTTCCTGCGTGTCCCTCTGGAGTCTCGAACTCATACATTCCCATTTGCTTTGCCATCATCCTTTGGGTTCTGTTCAGGTCCTTCAATCAATCCCCATCTTCCTATTGTTTTTGCTTTGCTCCAAATAAATGCTTATAAACCAACCAGCTGAAACTTGTGACCCCCTACCTTTGCGCAGTGACTTTTCCCCCGGGTCCTTCAGACTTGACCAGATGACTATGAGCCTGTTTATTGACCTTGACTTCGCTATATGCATCCATCTACACCAGCTACGCCTGTCCTTCCTCATCAGCTATGCTCATCATCATCACGCACAATTAACAACAAGCACCTCACTGATAGGATGTCTCTCAAAATTGCTCTAATCAGCCTCCATGGAGGACATTTGCATTGCACAGCTGTCAAATTAATAATAAGCATTAAATTACAATTATGAGTCATATTATGATCATTATAAAATGGCTTGATTTGCACATGGCAGTCTTTCCATTCATAAATAGGCATTAATATATAAGCATTGAGTGATCTCTTTTTGGGAGAAAATGTGGATTTGAGCTCCATTGTTTTGAAGTAGAGTAGGAATGCAATACATACTCCTCAGGAAAGAATGGAAATGTCTGAATTTTGGGGGTGTAAATGGGGCCTTGTAAACAGCAAAATACAGCTATAGGTCCATCCATTCAGGCCTCTTCTAACCACTTATCCTGGTCAGCTTTTGGGGGAAGAGGCAGCAGAGTGCACCAGGCTGGGGAACACCCTGGATGGGACGCCAGGCCATTGCAGATTGTCAATATGAAATTCTGTCCTTAAAGCTATTACCTAAGTGATTTCAGAGCCGTGTTTCCCAACCCAGTCCTCGGGGAACTCCGGACAGTCCACATTTTTCCATTGGTCAGTTTACACAAGATGTGGTGGCTAATTTATTTATGAATGTGTATAAGAAAAAGAGAAAACAGGCCTGTAACATGAGCAGCCTGTTGAGAACTTCATAGCGATGGATTATCTTTTAGGGTGCAGTGATTAAACCCTGCATTATTACTGCAAGTAAGTGCAAAGACTTTTTCCACTGTTGAATAGTGGAAAAAGTCACTAAAAAGTCACTAATGGCCAAAAAATTCTTCACCTGGTTCTGAGTAATGAATCTGGACAGTGAGTAAAGGTCTGCGTCACTATAGTGGTGAGCATTCTCACCTGTGAACTCTGAATGACCCTGCTCTTGTGCACCACTTCAGCCAGTATTATCTCCCAAATAAATGTGCTTAAAGAGATTGCAGAATGTTATGCAGCAATAGTATTTTTTAATATATTCCACAGTTTGCCTAACAATAAAACACAGTGCCTTCTCCTGTTAATTGCACTTGCTAAACTCTTGGTTTGTACCTGACACTCATGGAGTCCCGGGTCCATGTCTCTGTGGGCGGAGTTTGCACGTTCTCCCTGTCTTCTCGTATAAAAAGCCCACAGATTCTTAGCTGGCGACCCAGCGTAGTGGGCTCTTGTAAAAATGCTGTCACCCTAGTCAATATTTGACATCATCTCTGATTGTCAAATAATATAATTTTGCTTCTACTCTTCTAGATAGATG